TCGTAACACTGCCCCTTCCTTAGTATTGTTCGTCCCGAACAATAGCCACTTACATTAAACCAATCAACAATTAACAATAACTTAATTAAATTTACAGAATTTACAAACACAGAATTAAAATTCAACAAAGTCTCTTAATTTTACGGGACTTATCTCCTTCCGTACTGGTCTCCATCTCGTTGGCTTCTGCTTCACGTGAGGTTCATCTGCTCCATCAGGAAATGTCATATTATCAGTAATACTCACATCAGTGGTTGTAACTTCATTAAGGACTTCACTGTTTCCCTGCTCAAAACCGGGTAGAGTTTCTTCTTAGACGGTGGCTTTTTCAGGTGACACGTCTTCAGCAGCATCATTTGTTCTATTATTCACTTTGTTCCAACTGAAATATCCTGGACCATGGTAACACCAAAGCCTGTTGGCATGCACCACCTTTGGCTTACATCGCCGACCACATTTTATTTGGAAAGACACGTCTAAGAGATGATCCACTATGTCATATGGGCCTTCCATGGAGAAGACAACTTAGGATACTTCCCTTTGGTCTTCCTGGGATCACACAACCACACCTTGTCTCCTGGTACAAAGCTAACTTCAGTAGATCTCTTATCATAACATAGCTTCATGGAATCAGCAGACGTTTTCAAGTTTGAATGCACTTGATGGTGAATATCATCCATCCTTTCAGATAACACTTTCACGAACTCTGACACATTTTCAAGCAACTCTTCGCATCCTGTTATCAGGTCCACTGGCAATCGAAGTTCCCGACCAAACATCAGCTTTGCTTGAGTGTATCCAGGGCTTCATTCTCTGCTGTTCTATAGGCCATCAACAGCGGAGGGAGTAATATATCCCAGTCATATTGGCGGCTACTACAAAACTTTGCCAATTCCTGTCGAGTGTCCATTGTACTTTTTCTACCTCCCCATCAGACTGTGGGTGTAGTGGCATTGTCTTGGTCTTTCATATGCCAAACAACTTGCAGCATTTATGGAAGAGCTAATTCCAAGTTACAGTCTTGATCCAAATGCAGTTTGTATGGCATACCAAATCTGAAGAAGAAATCACTAATAGCCAAAGCTACAGTAGCTTCCTGACTTGGTATTGCATATGCCTCAGGCCACTTGGTGAAATAATCCATTACCACACAAATGTACCTGTTTCCTGCACGAGTTTGGGGCAAAGGACCAGCAATGTCAACAGCTACTCTTTCCATTGGTGCGACAACTTGATATAACTTCATTGGAGAACATCCCTTATGCTTGGGTCCCCTTTCAGCATAACATGTACTGCAGGTCCTGCACCATTCTTCCACATCTTGCCTCATACCTATCCAGTAAAATCTCTGTCATAGGTGACTCAATGTCTTCTTAACTCCGAGATGTCCTCCTGTTAAACTATCATGGGATTGACGCAGCACAACTTCCCTTAACTTTCTCGGTATAACCGTTTGCCAGGTCAACACTTTCCCATCTGCAGTTTCCCATCTACGGAGAAGAATACCATCTTCAAGCTTCAACTGGTCCCATTGTGCCCAATAGTTCTTTGTCACAGGGCCTAAGCTAGACACCATCTCCCAAGCAGGGCACAAAACACTTGCTTGTAGAAAATCAATTACTGGCTTCAAATCTTGGTCTTTCCCCTGTTTTGCTTGAATATCTAT